TATATTAGTCAAACTGATTCCTCTGTGATTGTCACAAGAGGACTTTTGTCCTTTCTTAAAAACTGGCACAATCAGTGATTGAGACCAGTCCAAAGAATCCTTTGGAGGCAATGACGTTCTCAAGCAGGAAGCTGTCAAATATTCTCAACCTAATGACGACATTTCACAAACTGATGTAGAACTACTGATATTAAAGGTTTGCATGTTCATCCTCCTTTAGGTAGACTGATGTCGTGATCTTACAAAGGTAACCAAAATTCCTATAAAGTACACCATAGGTAATGTCGTATCACATAACCATCAGCCCTCACAGCTACCCAAATACTCGAGCATCCCGACATGGAGAATACTAGCACTAAACATCAATCTTGTCAGAATAGTAAACATTGATGATGCAGATTACAAGCAACACCCACTGACATTGGCTGCTAAATTCTTATGTATCATTTGTACAGCTTGTTTGTCATTGAACAGTAAAATGTTATAGTCATCCTGTCTACTCTACCACTAGACAATTCCGTCAAATGTGTTTTTAGTATATCATCAATGAGAAGTTTGGGAGAAATGAGGAAATTAAAGCTGTTCAGATAGACCTAGCATTAATTCTTTGTTTCTTCTGTGCTTCAGTTGGTTAAACTGTAAACAGTAATAACGGAAAAACACCGTTCCTCATATTATTAACCTTTTACTTCATTTAAACCTCTGAGTATCAAAAGATAAACGGTTGTTAATAGGGAACCATCTAGTTAATGTTCCTTTTACCCTAGCGTTCGGTACAACACTGGCCAGGTACTGCTGTCTGGTTCGCATGGGAATCTGGGCATTAAGAGTGAGGAGTTCGAATATCTCACTTGTTATCAAACTAGTTACATCAAATATTTTGGGTGGTAGCTCTCATAAACCAATGATTCTGGCAGCATATGATTGTTTACCTTAGAAAAAAGCGGCTGAGTAAAATAGAGATCAAAACTGAAATTAAAATATAATTTATGTAAATTGGAACAATATAAAGACACGAAATGAACCTGTTTATTGTGATACTGTATTCTTCATCTTTAACTGTGATGATTGTGTGGGTTATTATACAGTCGAAGCGCACCTGCAAAACAGTTGAATGACGTCAGGACATACATTTCTGCGGGTGCCAGTGAACACTATGTTTGAATACTTGTTATCGCATGACCTATGAGCCTATGTAAACCGTTTTTTGATGGCACAATTATTTTAATGGCATATGAAAGTGACTCACATAATCAAACTGATAGTTTACTGACCAAAACGATCTATGGATTTCAACAGAGTGGGTTTCAAAAGACGGAAACACTGACCAGCTAACTGAATATATTAGGGAGTTAAATTTATCAGTCGCTTACGTGGTCCAACTATGAATTATTTATTATTAGAGAACGAAAAAAAACATTCCTCTACTTCTCCTTTCAAATCATGTTGCGGATTATAAACTATAATTTTCCAATCATTATGTGAACTATCCGTATTCACCATACTAGTTTAATTGTTAGACATTTGCCTTTACCACTTTACTTTTGCTAGAACAATCCTACAATTTCAATTGCTTATATGATAACTAATAATTTCGTTCTTATTGCTATTATTAGTTGCCTAACATTTTTATATGTTATACTAAGTATTTATAATAATCTTTATTCTGTATTGAAAAATTAGCGCACATTTGGGCACACATCTCCTAGCGTTACTGCCAAACAAGATAATGAATCCAAGGAAAGCAAATCATGTACGATTAATATTTTTGCATCCGCTGTTTATCAGTTGAGCAAGTTTTCCTCTCATCTTGACATAATGTTAATAATGCTGCCAACTGTCTTTTTTTCCTAACCTGTATTTTTAATGAAGCGATAGTCTCACAGTTTCTATGTGTTTAAAAACAGAATAATAAAGGCCATCTGAATTTTTATTAATACGCAGAAGTCTAATTGTTTGACGAGAGAATTTAGTAAAAAACGTAGGACGAAATTACTATCATTTCCCCTGAATATCCATTTACATATAATCTGTTTTCGGTACATTTATCAGATATTAAACTGGAAATAGTGTTTTCACAATGACAATTCTTAAGCTTAATTAACATGCTAATAGGATGATGGAGGATATTTGTTACTCAGAATGATTTTGAAGGTGTTATATTCTCTGAGTTGGATTATTTAGCCGTGAAACTTTCATTGTCACTCGAGATATTGTTGTGAATACATATTCCCTCAAATGCACTGGTACTACCGAGGGTGGGGAGAGTCAGTTCTCTCTCTCACATAGCCACGCGTATACAGCCATTGTCAGTGAAGTTCTACTCACTGCCTCCTCGTGGCGGGGGTGTTGTTTACGAAATTGAAAGGACGAAAAGCGATTGTCCGACGCTATAACCGGGTTTGTGGATATGGCGGGTCCACCTAGGAGATTTGAAAAACCCTGACTCCAAATTAATGGTGCACATGGGCTCCAGTATACTAATGGAAAAATGGTGTATGGACCTATTGTTAGTCACCAGCTACCATGGGACCACATCTCCTAAAGTTGTTCTATTGCCTTGTGGATTAATCCTTTGAGTCAAAGGCTCTAGGAGTGGCCGCCTAGGGCAATCACCCGCTGTTGTTTGGGCATCCGGGTAGTATTCCATCCCTCAGAATGTCCTAATGATATTATTTGTCTTTTATTATTTATTTATTTATTTCAACATTGTATTCTCTCTCTAATGCTAAGTTTAAATTCGAGAGCTTGGTAACTTTGCTAAAGTTATTTTCAGTTAATCATTTAAACTGCTATTAGTGTTTGTACCATTATGATTAATTATGTGACTCGATTCTCTTACGGGGGTTTGTTATTTGTCGCCTACGTTTATATCAATTTATTTCATAACAGGTGGCTTACGGAGTTCATGTTGCACCGTTTGCCCCATTGGCCACATACGACTACTTAATTGGTGAGTGTTATCTAATAGCATAATAATACATATGATAGTTTCATACAATAGATCATTTCCAGCCCCAACAAGTAACTAATAACATCTCGTTTGCGGCACTAGATGACCTAGATATAGGCCTTAGGTAACTTGGTTATCAGGCAGTGTCGTAGATAAAAAACAAGTATAACCAATTGTTTTACCACCGTTCGAACTGGATCCCTACCAAATATCATACTTCACATATATTCAAACGTAGTACGTTATATTTTTGTCTGTCACAATTACTTATCGTATTATTTAACTGTTTGTTCAGTGTTTGGAGAATAATTCAGCTATAGATTCATAATGATTACCTTGTTGAAATATGACAACAATCAATTCAATTGTTTATCGTATGATCATAGTAAATAAAAGCATTCATATCATAATAATAAATTTACCTTTTACTTACAATTTCCCCCAATGTTGAGTATATCTGGATTTGAAATATTTATTTTTAGCTTTAAGTTTTGAAGATAAACGAAGAGAAAATTTTCGACAAGGTCAAGCAGAACTCGACAGACGAAAGCAGGAGTTGGCTGAAAAAATGCGTCTAGATGAAGAAATTCGTTTGGAGAATGAGCGATTAGAAAGGGAGAAGCAACAAAAATTACGGTATGTTTTCGTTTGTATGTGCTTAATATTTGCCAACCTGGCGTGTTTAAATAGTACATTATCATGATTTACCATTAATTTTTTATTCAATCGATTGCATGCAGTTTTATGCTGGCCTTAGAAGTCATCAGCTCACAAATACTGTTTTTTAATTTTAAGCGATTCAGCAACAAATTATTCTTGAAACCAGTCATAATGTATTGATGCATTTAGTTTTCTCATCGGAATTGTATACTTTCGTATATGAGTTTATTTATTCATTTAAATCA